CTAAAGGAAACAGAAGAAAATTTATGACATTGGTCTGGACGATGATTTTTTAGATGAGATTCCTAAAACACAAACAAAACAAAAATTAGACAAAAGAGTTGTATCAAATGAAAAACCTTCTGAACAGTAGAGGAAGCAACTGAGTGAAGAAATAATCTATAGATTGAAAGAAAGTATTTGCAAGCTGTGCATCTGATAAGGTTTTAATGTCCAAATATATACAGGAACTCAGGTTAATATCAAGATAACAAATAAACTCATTACAAAATGAGTAAAGGACCTAAGTAGAAATTATTCAGAGGAAGACATACTAGTGGTTAATACATATATGAAAAAATGCTCAATATTAGCAATTATTATGGGAATACAAATTGAAAGTACGGTGAGATACCTCACATATGTTAGAATAGTTTACACACAAAAGACAAGGGTAACAAATGTTGATGAGGATGTGGAGAATGGGAACCCTGGTACTGTTAGTAGACATCTAAATTAGTATCTTCATTATGAAAAATAGTTTGGAGGTTCCTCAAAAAACTTAAAAGAGAATTACCATATGATCTAGTTACCCAAATTCTCTCTCTATATACAAAGGATTTGAAATTAATACCATAAAGACATATCTTCACTCCTAGTAGTGTTGCAGCATTACTCACAACAGTCAAGTTATAGAAGCAACCTAAGAGCTCATGAATAGATAAAAATATGGCATATATTCATGAAAAAATACTACAAAAAGGAAGGTAAGTCTGTCATTTGCTACAGAATGATGGATCTGAAGATGTTATACTAACTGCAATAACCCAGGCACAGAATGATAAATACTGCATGTTCTCACATAACTGTGGAACTGGAAAAATTGAATTTGTAGAAGCAGAGAGCAAAAAAAAGTTAGCAGAGTCTTGCTATTAAGGGGGGATGGAAAGATGTTGATCAAAGTGTGCAAAGATTCAGATAGGAGGAATAAATTTTGTGAGATCTCTTACATTGCATGGTGACTAAGTTGGCAATAGTGTATTGTACACACATAACATCGCTTTTTATTGCCTAATATGTATAATTATGATTTGTCAATTTATAATAAGAAATTCTATAAAATATACTTCCTTGTAAAGTTTTACATTTTCCCCATATGTATGTCAAACATTGTTATGAAACATAAAATTATACACATGTTCATGTGTGTGTATTTTGCTAATGTAATATAATTTTGCTAATGTAAACTTTAGGAAGTGAGAGAGTTAACATTTTGTAGCATAAAATAAATGATGCAATTTCTGATAATGTAAACTTTAGGAAATAAAGTGTTTCAAATTTTGTAGTATAAAATGGAGCAATTCCCTTGTAGATTACAGATTTGTAAAAAGATCTTTAACAATGTGAACACATTTGGAAATATTATCTTCAATTCCAGGAACTTATAATTATAGACATTTATGGAATATTCTGCAGTAAGAAAAATACCACAAATGTAAGTCATATTGTTAAAGTGAGTTTATGAAAAATTATGGGTAGCAGGTACATAATATTGTTTTTAAAAATACTTGTATATACAAATATACATGAATATAAATTCATACATGGTCAAAGGGTGGAAGAAACATGTGCCAAATGTTAACATATTCATCAACGATGAAGGAGGTTATAACAATTTATTTTCTTTGTACTTTTCTCTATTCTCATTTTCCTATTTTTTTTCTAAATATTTGGTTAGAGTGAACTATGTAAAATTTGCTGTTTTCTATGTCAAACTAGTTGCATAATGGCAATATCATGGTTGAATCAGAATTTTTCTCAGTGAGAGAATTGACCTATAAAAACTATTACATCAATGGTAGAAGTGAAATTCTCATGATGTAGGTTTACAGAAACAAGATATTATTGGAATATTGAATAATTGTCCAAAAGACTAAACATGTTCACACACAGTTTATAGAGTCATCAAAAATATTTTCCCCATGGAGTAAGTTATGCTTCCAATTACTCGGAGTCAGATTTACATGGTTGGTACTAGCAGCAGAAATCTCAATGCAATACATGCTTTCCTTTAAAAAAATATGATTATAATACCTTTGTTTTCAGAAGAAAGAAAAAAAGCTATGAAAAGAATAATTACTATAGGTTTGTTAAAAGTGATTTGTTGATTAGTCTACAATGCCCAGTAGATGACTTTATCCTACAGGGAATATTTTGGTGGTATTGAGGGAATTTTAACTTCCCAAGCAGGATGAAGATGGGAAGAAATAAATATTATTTCCTTTGAACTGTGTTTCTTAAAAAAAGTTAACATGGGCAGAACATGATTTTGACATATAATTCTTATACCTTAGGAGTTGGTTTAGCTTATGGCATCAGTGCATCTTATAGGAACTAGGTGAGAGTATAAACCCAATTGTTATATTTTTTAAAATAAAAAGTTATTTCAGTATCATGATTCTCATGAACTCTCAAAATATGTGATTTTTTTTTCCGGTGATTTACCTACCAAACAGAATACAAAGCAATTTTGAATTGGAAAGACAGATTAAAAAATTTTGTCCAATCCCTCTGAGCCTTTATGGATGCAACACTATATATTCGTAGAAGGAAGATTTGGACTAAAGAGATCAATTATAGTTTATAGGCTTAACCACTATGCTATGTTGCCTAGCAAATGCAGAGAGAATTCACATTCTCACTTTGTTTAGAGATGCATCTTGGAAAATCTAAAGCTTTAAAAATGAGAACTTTAAATATGGTTGGTGTCATGGCTTAGAAATAATCACTTAATTTTGAGATATATATGAGATTTAAAGCTTCTGAAATGCTACATTTTTGGTAACATTTTCTTTGGTAGGGTAATGAATTACAGACTCTATTTGTATTTTGTTAGTGCCTTTATAGTCTTTAAACAGTAAAATTTATTTTGACCTGAAGTCGGGAAACCTCCCAGAATTAGGATGATTTTTCCAGTAAAGAAGTAGAGATACGGAGTTTTTAGGAGAGTCTATACTTTCTTCCTCATCTGTTTTTTGTTTTAGATAGTACTTCTTAGAAAGGCACATAGAAGCAGTTGATTAAGCCATGTTTCATCATCATGTTGTTCTTGGTATGATAAATAAGGATATTCTGTGCTTCAGGCGATTGGACAGTAGTGGGCTTACTTTATGATTACTGAAAACATTACTTCTGTGGTAGTTCATTTGCATGTCTGATAAAAACCTCAATTAACTTACTCTTTTTCTGTTTAACAACTGTTTCTGAGAATAACTGTGTTCCACGGAATAGCTTGTTTATCTAAGGGGAAGAACCCTAGATATTTTTGTTTCTAAAGTATCTAGTTCTTCTATATGATATTACTGGTCCAATATTATTCTTTTCAGAGATGAATTTTTTAGCCCAATCTTCTTCAGTTTTCCATATTCTCTTTTTTTGGGGGTTTAGCAGATACTTTAAGAAATTTAGTTATGGTCCGGCACAGTCTTGAGGAGTGAATAATCTAGATACATCTATACAGAAGTGGTGATTTGATTATAGAAGTAAAAATAAGGATTGGCATGACAGCCTTTGGCTGAACTTGTCATTAAAACCAAGGAGTTGTGAATCCAGGATTTGTAAATATATTCTTGAATGGTTAAATACTTATATCAGCTATTTCTAAGTGAGTAGCTCTTGTTTTAGATCTCCAAGGGAGGAATTTAAATTCATAAAATATATTTTATACCTAGAATTATGTATGATTTATCATTAAAGGAAGGTATTGTGTTCATGTTGATTTAAATTCTCTCTCCTTTTTCCCATGGTTTCCAGAGATCCAACCTTTTCACTTACTTCCTAGGCTTTTAATACTCAAAACATATTTGTAGTTTGTTTTGTTTTATGCTTTGCCTATCTCCATGTAAGTCATTGCTTATTAGTGTGTGTGGTTCAACTTTTCTCCTCTTTGATTTGCTATTCAAACAAAATTTTTGATTTTTACCATTTAAACTTAAATCAGATTTTCAAAAATGCTGCACGTTTTTTCATTGTGACATCTTTTGAAGCGAGTCTTCCCACTTTGACCTTCATAATCTCACTCAAATGGAGTGGGGATAGAAAAATGACAGCAATCTCATAGAATTCTGTACCTTAGAAATATTAAAAGATAGTTAACTGGATAATATTCTACATTGGCATGATGAGTGATAATTCTTGGATCGATTTCATATATGAAACAAGCTACTAATGTAAGTGTATATGTGAGTTTTCCTCTGTTAAATGGAAGTTATTTTAGCAACATGGCAGTATCACTCAAGTTATAAGTTCTATGTATGACTGAGATAAGAATGATGACATTCTAACTTGGGAGGTGCTAAATAAATATTTGTTAACTAAGTCAACTAATGATTTTGTTTATATATGACTTTATCGAGGAATATATCTAAAAGTCTATTACAAATTTGGTGTGCTTGATGATGGTATAATGAAGTAATACAATGGTTTCTCTAGATAGAAAACAGAAGAAATAGAATTTTGGCTTATTGTGTTATTGCTTGACCCATTAATGTCTTTGGAAGAAAGAATAATATATATCACTAATATCACAGAGTCCATTTTCTGTTCAGATAAAAGATATGAACAAGTTGCAGAAAAACTAAGAAGACTCTTTTGAGCTTGAATCAGAGTTGCTTTAGTAGATTTTATTGTAAAATATATTTTGTATTTTTCATTGTGACCTATGTATAAAATAATGTCATATATTTAATTTATGCTGTTTCTGGTTGATAAGTTATTGGGCCAAGTAGATTGATTACTATAGCCTCTCTACTTCCTTTCAGAGAATTACATATTTAAAAAAAATTATATGTCAAAATTATTTATAAAATGCTTCATATATTCAGATGATTTCTTGAAAAAAAGACTGTACTAGACGGTCAAGGAACTTCTGAAACACGGGATTGCGACGTTGTATTTTATATGAATATTGATAGTTTTGTTTTTCTTTACTTACTCTCTCATTGCAGTGATCAATCTGAGTGGATGCGATGGAGATTAATCAGACATTGGTGACTGAATTTATTCTCAAAGGACTAACAGACAGCACAGAGCTGGAAGTGCCCCTGTTCCTGGTATTCTTGTTGATTTATGTCACCACCATGGTGGGCAACCTCGGACTGGTCTTTCTCATCTGGAAGGACCCCCATCTTCACACGCCCATGTACTTTTTCCTTGGCAGCTTAGCCTTTGCAGATGCTTGTACCTCATCCTCTGTGACCCCGAGGCTGCTCGTCAATATCTTAGACAATGGCCAAATGATATCACTCTTTGAATGCATGGCCCAATATTATTTTTTTGGTTCCAGTGCAACCACAGAATGTTTTCTTCTGGTGGTGATGGCCTATGACCGCTATGTTGCTATATGTAATCCTTTGCTTTATCTAGTGGTGATGTCCAACAGACTCTGTGCTTCATTGATAAGTATGTCATATGCAATTGGTTTTCTGCATCCTATAATTCATGTAGGATTATTGTTTAGATTAACTTTCTGTCGGTTCAATGTAATAGATCATTTTTATTGTGAAATCTTGCCACTGTATACACTTGCTTGCACTGATCCATCTATCAATGCATTAGTAGTTTTCATCTTTGCTGCTTTCATACAAGCTATCACTTTTTTGACCATCGTGGTCTCTTATGTCTGTGTCCTCTTTGTCATCCTGAAGAAGTCTGAGAAGGGCAGAAGCAAAGCCTTCTCCACGTGCAGTGCCCACCTGCTCTCTGTCTCTTTGTTCTATGGCACTCTCTTCATCATGTACGTCCGTCCTGGGTCTGGCCCAGAGAAACATCAGGATAAAATGTATTCACTGTTCTACACAATTATAATTCCCCTGCTAAACCCTTTTATTTACAGCCTAAGAAACAAAGAAGTTTTGGGTGCACTGAAAAAAGTGATAACTAAATAAATATGTTCTTGGAAACTTTTATTATCTTTCCATTTCACCCCTTGTTCAAATAACCATGTCCTTTGTTTTGCACATGGTAAGGCCCTATAGATGTTGTAAAATGAATGAATAAAAAACACTTAGTCTGGATATGGTTGTTTAGGTTATAAGTTATGATAATCAAAATAATCAATGAGCACTGTAAGGACAGGCTCCAATTACCTGTTGTTTTCAATCTATACTCAAGGATAAACTGAAGGTGAAATAACCAAACTGCTGAGTCTCTATTAACACAAACGAACTCCAGCATTTCCAGATCCACTATTTTATTTTTCCCTATTTTTATTATTTATTTTAAAATTTTAATTATTTTTTTAAGACTCAATATGGTTTGTAGATACAGTTCTAAGAATATCATGATATTCCCTTCCTCCCTGTCTCTATCCCCCTTTCCCTCTCCCATCCTCCTCTTCTGACTTTTTTTGTTTTTGAAATAAAATATTTTAAATTTGCATTACAGCAAAAAGGCTTAATACTTAACTGAATGAGAAGTTTAACAAATATAAAGCAAAAAGACCCTAGTTTAGTGAGAATATAGACAATGGCTATAAATAATAATTGAAAGGAAAAATGACAGTTTAGTCCATATATAGTACATTTTAAAGTAATCTTGGATCATTGAAACTATAGTAGCACAGCTTTCTTAACCATTGGTTTGGCAATGGTATAAAACAAAGTTTCACAAAACTGTATTTGACTATACTTGCCGCAATACTGATCCTTCCTTCCTTCCTTCCTTCCTTCCTTCCTTCCTTCCTTCCTTCCTTCCTTCCTTCCTTCCTTCCTTCCTTCCTTCCCATCTTTCCATCCTTCCTCCCTTCCCTCTCTCTATTCTTTCTTTCTTTCTCTCTCTCTCTCTCTCTCTCTCTCTCTCTCTTTCTATCTCCCACATATATAGGAGAGCAAGCAGTATTTGTCTTTCTGTGTCTGGCTTATTTCATTCAACATAATGTCCTCCAGTTGCATTCATTTTGCTGAAAATAGTAGAATTTCATTCTTTTTTTTTTAACAGCTGAATAACATTGCATTGTGCATATTTACCATATTTTCTTTATCCATTCATCTGATGATGTACACCATGGTTGATTCCAAATTTTGGTTATTGTGAACAGTGCTGCTATAAACATGGTGGTGCAGGTATCTCTTTGATACAATGTGCTTATGTCTTTTGGGTAAATACCCAGTAGTGGTATTGCTGGATCATATGGCAAGTTTATTTCTAGCTTTTTAAAAAATTTCCACTGTTTTCTACAGTGGCTGCACTAATATACATTCCCACCAACAGTCAGATATACTTATTTTAAAATCCTGTTGAATTTGTATTCTTTTGAAAGGAGACTCTGTGTGTGAACACTGTATTTAAAATATATTCATGGCCTCCTAAATATTTCCTGAGCATGGTGTTTTTAACACCTTCCGGTATATCTGGATAATTATTCTAACAATACATCAAGTAAAATAATATTATTAGCTCCAATATGATAATGCCTGTATTTTAAAATGTTTAAAGTAAGTATCCTGTAAATTTCAAAAGTAATTTTGAAAGTAAATTTTATTGAATTATTGAAAGATAATAAAATATTTTTCTGCAATATTATTGGAAAAGTTCTGAGATCTTACAAAATTTTACCCTTGAATTTATTTGATAACATTGCTGAGTACCTTGTTCCTGACACACAAATATCAACTGACTATATTTTTCTCCAGAATTGACAACTATGTAAAGTAGCAGACATGTTTGATCAATGCTTAGTAAATAATTTATGTTGATTTTTTTTCCTTATTCAAATTCTGTATTTTTTTCTGTCTCACTAGTTTGGGAGTTTATATACTTTGGCTTCCTGATTTTATTACACATTGCCTTGTTACTATGTAAATAAGGGAAATCATTTTTCCTCCAATACATGCTGCATTTCTCCCATCTCCTGCCTACCTCTCTCTCTCTCTCTCTCTATTTTTAATATTGAGTTGTAAAATCTAAAGCTCAAGATGGGATAAACTGGCTCATAGCTTAGTTTTTTGGTACTTGAGTCCTGCTTGGTGGGCTCCATTTTAAGCAAATTCTTCAGTGTGATGGCAGAATCTTTATGAAAACTCCTGACTACATCTTTTTCCAGCATGTCCAGTAGCACAGCCTTCTGATTATTTTTAATGTGCTATGAAGACTGATTTGCCTTAACCATGTGATTGCTAAAGGTCAGTAATTAGTATTTAGACTTTCCATACTTCTATATCATCTTTATTTAAAGAAAAATCCCTACTGATTTGCAGTGTGGCCCAGACAGTGGAGAAGTACATTCTGTATGCTTCTTTCTGCCAGACTCACCATCACAGGATTTTCACCTTCACAATCTTCCCAGAGAAATGTAATCACTGGTGGTTCCATTGTTCATGGGGACAGCATTTTTTTTTTTTTTTGCAAATAACAGACAATGAAAATTTTTCTTTTCCTGTTCTCTGAGGTGAGCAAATCTGCTAATTGACTTATCAGCAAATTATATATAACCTTAAGAACACACACACACACAAACACACAATAGACTTGGGGAACTGATTTTCCTGTCTTTCCATCTGCAATTGGAGGCCTTAAACTTGCAATAAATTGGATAAATTTATTGCATGTGTTTTTCATTGCTTCTGATACAAACCACCATACACATAGTGGCTTCAGAGTCCGATATGGGTCTTAGCGGAATTGGAACCAAGGTGGATGCTGGACTACATCCCTTTCTGGAGGCTGCAGGAGAGCCTCTGTTTCCTCTCCTTTTCCAGCTTCCAGAGGCTGCCTGAATTTCTGGGCTCTTGAGCTCCTTCTGCTTCAAAGCCAGCTCTGTTGCATTGCTCTGTCACAACTGTCTTGTCACAACTTCCTTTGATTCTGCCTCCTCTACCTTTTTCTACTCTATGGCCCCTTATGGTAACATAATACAGGGTGATCTTTCTATTCAAAATCAGTTTATTTGCAACTTTAATCACATCTGAAACATTAATTCCCCCTTTCCAGGCAACCTAACATATTCTTAGGTTCTGGAGATTAGGTCATGGGCATCTGGGTGTGTGTGGATGGGGCAGCATTATTCTGTCATAGGTAGCCTTAGAAAATAGAGATTTTTATCTAGATTCCAATTTATTGTATTTGGGAGGAATAACTTCTGGCTCTCCTTCTTCCTTACTGGGTCCATCAATGCAAGCTTGGTCCTGCAGAATATGTAGGTAGGAGACACTTGAAATTTAGCCTGAGGGCTCTCATTACCACAGTGTATGGGCAGCAATTTGAAATTGTTTTATGTCTGACAGCAGCCAGGAGACCCACTCCTGGAGGGGATGGGCTGAGACAGGAAGGTGGAATATGTGATAGAGACCTCAAGGGGTGACCACACGAAACAGAATGAAGAGAGGCAAAGCAACTTTGGAGGGCAGCCAGGCCTTATCCCACTCAAGAGAGATCAAATCACAAGTTCCAATAGGCACAGACTTCATTGTAGAAGTTAGCAGCATGCCCAGTCCAGAAAATTCAAGAGATGTTAGTAGGATAGTGTCAGATCAGCGATCTTCATTCTGGTCCCAGAAGATTATGTCCACATTCACCTTCCGAGTTCTCATATGCCTTCTCAGAAATATAAGAAAATGTTCAAAATAAAATTCCTTACTGCTAGTTGAAGTATGCTGGCTCTTGCTTGGGCTCCTTATCAAAAATCATTGAGTAGAATTACAGATCCAGGACCACTCCAAGCTAGATTTTAATCCCATAGGAGAAAGGCTAGAAAAATCAGTAAAACAAGAGACAACTGATTAACCTATTTTCTTAGGCTCTGAATTTTTGAAAGTCCCTTTTCAGTGATAGTAGCTCAAGTCAGAATGATAACCCAGTTCATACAAGATGGCCTGGGGTAGATAATAGAGATGAGATGTGGGAGAAAATATTCAGAGCCTCTTTTCAAGTCTGAGAGAGAAGCTGAAGCTCGTCATATGGAAGCGAACCAAGGTCAATGTGAGAGATCCTGGAAGATCAGAGAGTGTAGACACACTACTCTTGCAAGAATCAGCCCATCCAGAGCCTGCTTTCACTCAGGCCAGAGAGCTGAGGGAGAGATTGGGCTGCAACTTAAGGATGGGAATAGACTTGAAGAGAAAGAGAGACAAAAGAGAACAAATGGGAGTGGACTGAGAGCTTACACTAGCTGACAGCTTTAGAAAGACCACTACTGATACTCTATTTTTTTTTTTTTTTTGACAGGCAGAGTGGACAGTGAGAGAGAGAGACAGAGAGAAAGGTCTTCCTTTTCCGTTGGTTCACCCCCCAATGGCCGCTGCGGCATCCCATGCGGGTGCAGGGCCCAAGCACTTGGGCCATCCTCCACTGCACTCCCGGGCCACAGCAGAGAGCTGGCCTGGAAGAGGAGCACCCGGGACTGAATCCAGTGCCCCGACCAGGACTAGAACCCGGTGTGCCGGTGCTGCAGGTGGAGGATTAGCCTAGTGAGTCGAGGCACTGGCCCTACTCATACTCTATTAAGACCAGCTCTTGGTTTATACTTAAACAAGGAAGGACATGTAGCTGTGGTCTCTGGGAGAGCTGTGAGCTGTGGACTGTACCGTGGATGGAGGCCCATTCCTAACAGGAGGAAAGGCTTCTGTCCTATATCTGTTTTACTTTAGTCTGTAAAGTAGACACAATTAGATTCTGAAACATTATTATTGGAACTCAGTTCTTCCTGCTCCCCTTCAAAAAAATAGAAAAATAATTTCAGAGGACTCAAATGGACTAAAGAACCAGTATAATGAGGTTAAAATGATGGAAATTATTAATTAACTTTTTCTCAGTTGTCTTACTATAGAGCTGACTCCGTAGCGGGCATAAGTTTTGTATACCTCTGGGGGTGTGTTTGCATTTGTTATAGGAACAACTCAAGAGGACAATGGTAATTACTTTCTGCTTTTAAGCACAGGATTTTTTTCTT